CTCTGGAGGCTCCTGAAGGGACACAGCGGGACAGCAGCCCGTCGCGGTGCCTCGTGAGCGTCCTGGCCTCGCACACACACCTTGGCCTTTCCCGGCCTGACTGTCAGGCTGTGACACACTCGCTCTCAATGACCAACAGCCCAGCGTGTTGCTGCCTAAGGCCCATGTTTCAGAACCGCCGCCCCCCGCCCCAGGGCCAGGCCAGCAGGCCTCTCGTTGTCTGCAGCTTTGGGTGGGCTGTGCGTCTTCCCGCCACCATCTCCGCGTCCCCGGGAGCTGGCAGGGGACCCCCACCCAGGGGCCCTGCTCCGCGGACATTTGTCAGACGTGGCTGAGCAAGGCCGGGTCTTTGTCTCCTGCGTGATCGATGGGCCATTATTGGATCAATAAGCACAAGCTGATTTAAGCTGCACCTTATTAATTATTTAAGTCACTCCTTATTGAAAGGTCGCTACTGGTTAACCACTTAAATGGTCACTACTAGCTCGGTGGCATCTCCTGTGAGGACGCAGCCACGGTGAACTGAGTACCTACTATGTGCCGGGCGCTTAACCCTGAGAACAAGCCCGGGGCAGAGGGGTGGGGAAGTTGGGAGGTAAGTGACCTGCCTGAAGTTTCGGGCTGGGAAACGGCAGAGCTGGGCCTTGAACCCGGGTCGGGTTGCTTGGAAAACGTATGGACTTGGCAGTGGCCACGTGCTGTACGTTTCTGCGCCTCAATGTTTTTCACGTTCTTATTGATGTTTTAGAAAGAGAGAGGAGAGAAACACTGATCAGTTGCCTCCTGCATGCTCCCAGCCGGGGATCAAGCCCGCAACCCTGGACGCGCCCCGACCGGGAATGAGACCAGCAACCTCCAGTGCCTGGGACGACGGCCCCCCCACCGCCCCCCGAGCCACGCCGGCCAGGGCTGCACCTCAGTCTTGTACCCGAGGTTCAGCATGGTGATGTCCTGGGATACTGAGCCCACGGCTGCAGCTCAGTCCCCACAGAGCGTCGGAACCCCTCACCCCACCCCTGAACCCCTCACCCCACACCTGCACGCAGCCTGGCTCCGGCCAGCGGCGCGGTGGCTCCCTGCTCCACAAGGCACCGCCCTCCACCCTCCTCCCAACCCTGAACTGCCCGGACCCGGCGCGCTCACTCCCCACCTCCACCTGCTGGGCTGCACAGACACGAGAGTCTCAGTGTGGGTGATGGATGGGGACACACTGCTCAGCGGGATGAACAGGTGCTGCAGGGGCAGCCGCCCCACAAGGCCGGTCCCTGGGACCCCCTCCCACTGGCTCCCTTCCCTCCTGCACAGCCGCCTGCTCGGCTGCCTCTGACGCCTCTCTGTGACTCAGCGTGCGCACCACGGAGCCCCCGATAGGCTCACAGTCCAACTTCATTCCGAGAAAACCGCCCCTGGCCCATCACAGACCGATCTGCTTCCTTCGGCCAGAGGGTGAAACGTTGGAAAGCCACCCCATTTCCCCTTTTGCCTTGGCAGCCAGGAAGCTCACCACGCCATTTAGCGCTCAGCGGCAATGACTCTCACACCAGCTCTCAGTGCAATAAACCTGCAAGTGATGCTTCTAAACTCCGTCTCCACCTCTCACATGGACTCTCCCGCTGGGCACACCTGGCCGCCGTGGACAACCTCCACTCTCTCTTGGCAGATAATCAGGTAATTGACAAGGCAAACCCGGCGGCAACAACCATCTGGCATTTCCCAAGCTCGCTGGCCAAAGGCAAGTGACCCAGGGCGGCCTGGGACCCGATCGCAAGCACTCACCAGGCGGACGAACTCTGGAAGGTCACCAGCGGCGGGCTGTGGGGGTCTCCCTGCAGCGT